GCGCTCGGATTGTGAGGCCTCAAACACAACCGGCATCAACATCCACTTCTGCAGCTCTGCGCGGACTTCTCGGGTCGGCGCCGGGTCCCCCTGGCGGCGCCTCTGGTGCCGCCCCTGGCGCGCTTCGCGCACCAGCGTCAGTCCAAGAAATCCGCAAGGAGCCACGGCAGTGTATGTTTACCCCCACCGGGGCAGGGGTAAGTTGGCTCGCCCAGCGTACACCCTCTGGGTGGGGATGGGCCCTCCGAAGCCCAAAGGAGACGGCACCCATCCCTTCCTAGGGGGGGGGGAAGATTGCCCAGCGGGGCCAAGGTTTCCCCAGTGGGGGTGGTGATTGTTTTCTTCGTCCAGATTCATGCAGTCGTTTGTTCCTTGGCCCACGTTTGCTTCGCTATCTTCTTCCTCTCGTCAAGGACGCCTCCGGGGCCTCGGGCCTCGCCGCCCCTTGCCTTTTTGGAAGCGCCCACGTGGCCAGTAGACCAGGGCTTGGCCCAGCAATAGATCGGGCTACGTATGTTTCACCAGCCGTTGTGAAAACTATTCTGGGAACACTTGGAGGAGGAAGATGAAGGGGAGGACAGGGAGGAATGAGGAGGAGGAAGAAGAGGAGGCGACGCAGGAAGAGGAACGAGGAGGAGGACGAGGAGGAGAAGAAGAAGGAGGAGGAGGAGGAGGAGGAGGAGGAGGGGGAGGAGGACGAGGAGGAGGAGGACGAGGAGGAGTTGAAGGAGGAGGATGGTTTTCATTCCAGGGCAGAATGAACGGCTGTCTAAGTCGCCGGCCCAAGTAGCCCACAGCCTCTGTAGTTGCAGGCCCCGTTCTGTACTCCTCGAAGCATCAACAATCGCATAGGTACAACGGCCAGCTAAAGCTTTAGGACTTCGATGCAATACGAAGCGGACGCGCATAATTCCACGCAACTTACATAGCGGCCCACTGGCTAATCGAAGGGATGCGGCTCTGTGCCAGGCCGTGCCGCTGCACATCATTCACAAGCTCTACCATGCCAGGGCGTGTCACTGCACAGCATTCGCAGCCTGACTGAAGGCAATCTGCGAAGCAAACTAATCCGATGCAACGAACTGCAAACACAACAGTCCAGCGCACTGTACACAGGATAGGACTGGGGCTAGCCGGTGCAGGTTCACACCACAAGTAAAGTATACGCTTAAAAGCACCCAGGTCCGCAATCGTTTGCAAATCGAAATTGCTCGTGCCGTACGAGTCGTGCTGTAGGTCCTCCCCATTTTCCCGCAGGGCGCCCGCGTCCACGTCGACGTTGTTCACTTCTTGTGCAGCGACTTCAGGTCGCCGCGCCTCTCCCCCAGGCCTACGAAAGGGCAGGTGCCCTCGGTGACAATCCACTTCGTACCGTGCGAGCCGCGATGCATGTCTTGCACACCCCCTGTCAGGTCTTCCGAGTCCAAGCCGACGCCGTATTTCCTTTCGTACAGCGACTTCGAGTCATCAAGTTTGTGCTCCAGGCCTGCGTAAGGGCAAGTGTCCTCGGTGACTGCCCACTTCGTGCCATCCGAGTCATGGTGCAGATGCTCCACATCCTCGTTCTGGTCGTCAGCGTCCCCGTCGACGCCCAAATTCTTCTTGTGGTGTGACTTCGGGTCGTCGAGCATCTCCTCCAGGCCTGCTGATGGGCCTGTTTTCTCGGTGGCAACCCAGTTCGTGCCGTCCGAGTCGTGGTAAGAATCCTCCACAACCTCCAGGGCGTCCGCGTCCACAACCTCCACACTGTTTCTTGAATCCGGTCGACGAGCCTCTCCTGCAGGCATATGAATCGGTCAACGCCGCCAGGGGCATCCCACTTCGTGCTGTTTGAGTCGTGATACAGGTCCTCCACAACCTCGTCCACGTCGTCCGCGCCCACGTCGACGCAATATTTCATTTTGCGCAGTAAACTTCACACCATTGAGCCTCTCCCCACGTCGACGCCGTACTTCGGCTTGTACAGCTACTTCAGGTCGGTGAGCCTTTCCTCCAGGCCTGCGGACGGGCCAATGCCCTCGGTGACCACCCACCTCGCGCCGTCCGAGTCGTGGCACGGGTCCTCCACGTCCTCGTCCAGGGCGTCCGCGTCCACGCCGACGCAATATTTCTTGTTGTGCAGAGACCTTCGGAGAGCAGCGGCGCCCAGCATGTCCTGGCCCACCAGCTTCCCGCCGACGGTTTGGAACGTCTATCCGCACTCCACCCGCGCCGCCTCCAGAGGACAGCGCCATTGCACTGCCGCGGGGCATGTGCGCATCAGGGCCTGTGGCAGCTGGGGTGGCGCTTGCCGCGGGGATCGTGAGAGGTGCGGAGCTCCCGCACAGAGAACCTCGAGCCCGGGCTGAGGGGCTCCCACACCCGCTTTAGAACCCAACTGGGCTTTAATCAGGGATTGAGCCAGGATGGCTACTGCAGAAAAGGAGGCTGAAGAGATGGAGGAGGAGGAGGAGGAGGAGGAGGACCAGTGCAACCCCAAGGCGCATCTACGATGTTGCAATTGACCATCCTTCCAAGCTTCCTCTTCATAGGGCCTTACAAGTCCACTGCGGGAAGAGAACCGATGGACGACAACCGTCTGAGAGTCCCCAATCGTGCCAAAGCGCAATTCCTTTTGACTTCAGCGTCGCGAGTCAACATGACTGCTGCGTCCCTGCAATCCTAAGCCGTGCCAAAACACCATTCCTGGAACTTCAGCACCGCGAATATACGTGACTTTTGCGCCCTGTCACTTCTAAGTATTGCCACCATCCCTGCGAATCCTTGAAGCTGTTGCAAATTTTCAAAACGAGTGTGCTCGGCGCCAAGGCGAGAGTCACATTTTGAAACAGATTTGTCCTCCATTCTTGAAGCTGCTGCAATTTGTTAGTACGAATATGCGCGGCGCTGAGGCGAGAGCTACATTTTGAAAACGGCCTGCCCTCCATCCGTGAGTCCGCTGCTTTTAAGACGAATGCGCGTGGCGCCAAGGCGAGAGCCACATCTTTAAAACCACCCGTCCTCCATTCTTGAAGCTGCTGCAGTTTGTTAGTACGAATATGCGCGGCGCTGAGGCGAGAGCTACATTTTGAAAACGGCCTGCCCTCCATCCGTGAAACAGTCGCAAATTTCAAGTTTCAGCACCATGATTGGTGAGGGAGCTCAGGCTAAACGCCCGGCCCGCCCTGCCGACACATCTGGTGATGCGACAGGGAGGAGTTGTTCACAAAGAAAATTGGTGAATGAGGAGGACCCGTGTAAACCCAAGAATCTTCAACGATGTTGCAATCAACCCTCCCTCCCAGTCCCCTCTTCAGATGCTCTTAAAAGGAAGTATCTTCGCTGCGGAATGAGCCCCGTGGGAAGACAAACGTCTGAAAATCTGCAACCGTGCCGAAGCACCATTCCTAGGACTTCAACGCCGCGAATTAGCGGTACTGTCGCTACCTGACCACCTAAATCGTGCCAGAACGCCGTTCCTGAGACGAACATCGCGAATCAACGTGGTTGTCGCGACCTGACAATCCTAAATCGCGCCAAAGCACAATTTTGGGGATGTCAACCCTAACAGTCATGGAAGTTGTTGCAAGCTGTTCGAACGAATGCGCGCGGCGCTAAGGCAAGAGCCGCATTTCGAAAAGGAACCGCCCTCCATACGTGAAGTTCTTGCAAACTGTTAAGACGCATGCGTGCGGCGCTAAGGCGAGAGCCACATTTCGAAAACGGCCCGCTTTCCATCAGTGAAGGTCCTGCGAACTCTTCAGACGACTGCACGCGGCGCAAAGGCGAGAGCCACATTCTGAAAACGACCCGACCACCATCCTTGAAATTGTTGCAAATCTCAAGCCTCAGCATCACAGATGGTGAGGAAGTCTCAGGCGAAACGCCCGGCTTGCCCTACCGACCCGTCTCGGGGTGCGACAGGGAGGAGCTATTGTGAAGGCCATGAGGCTGGTGCCACCGACCCTGAAGTGGAAACCCGAGGCGTGTGGGAGGCAAGGACTCCTTCCCCCCCGGCGGGGAAGGGATCAAAGGGAAGGGGCTTCCCTGCGACTCGATTACGACTCGAGTTCTCTTTGGCCCGGACGTTCGACGAGGAGCGCCCACGGCCAGGGACATGGCGGGATCGATGACGGCGACAACGACGACGACGACGACGACGACGACGACGACGACAAGGACGACTCAAGCGAAAAAGCTTCTCACACACGCCGACAGGATCGGCGGATATATAAGGAAGAAGGGTGGAGTAACAAGACGAGGAGAAGGACGAGGAGGATGAGGAGGGGCATGAGGAGGAGGAGGATATGGAACTGTTGCGATGGTGGTTTGGCGCTCGGGCCCCAGGCCCTGGACGCCGCGGGTCCGCACCCCCGGATGCCAGACCATCAGCTCCGCACTCCAGGCGTGCGTCCTCCCATCAGATGGCGATTGCTGCTGGTGTGGGGTGGGAGGCCGGGCTACACTGTCAATGCCTCGCTCTCCTGGGGCTTTGCTGTGTTCCTGCTCGCAATGCGCACCGCCAGAGGCGGCGGAGAGCTTAAGAGATCCACCTACCCAAAAAGGAATGCGCGAGACATCTTGCGTCGCTCCTGCTGGGAATCGGAAGCGAAAAAAAGGACGTACACGCACATGAGTCCACGCTGGTTTCGAGCGCACGCGTTGCGCGAACGCTCGTATCAGGCGGCCGGTGTCGCGGATTGGGGGGCCGTGTTCATGTACACGGTTGGGCGCGTACGTCTTTTGTGGGCTCCCTAGGGAAGACCCTGCCCCTTCCATCGCCAAGCCCCGATTTCTTGATCTTTTCACAGCGTGGGTCCCCGGAAGTTTCGACCCCTCAGGGGCCAAACAACGGGGGCAGACAACGCCGAAAATGGGCAGCATTTCCTGTCGTGCTGATTCTCGCCGCGAGGGGGTCTGGGTCGCATCTCCTCCTCCCCTTTGCTGCCCCCCCTTCCCTGTGGAGGGCCGTAGGAGGCAGTGGAGCCCGCGGGGGCCTCATTCCGCTTGACGCACCGCAGGACGAGTGCGGCTTCGACGAGTTCGGCCGGCGCAAGGAGCGGCGAAAGGGGTCATCTCGTGTCACCTCGTCGGCGTGCGCCGGGAGGGTGGCGCGATGGGGGGCGGCATCCTTCAAGAGGCGGGCGAGCTTCTCAGGAGGCGGGGGCCTGAAGATCTCCAATCAACAGTCGTCAGAGAACGATAACGGGACACCAAACGTGTCAACCCGAAGGAAGGGACCTTCTCAGAAGCCTTCCCGACGTTTCATAAGCCGTCATAGGTGCCCCGGGCCTTATGAGCAGGCCCCTGCCTTCTAAGATTAGGTCGGGCATGTCCCCCACAGGCGGATTTGGGGCGAAGAATTCAGAATACTCCACACATGCCCCCAATTAGTCAACACATATCTAAAACATCGTCCCCAGACTATTTTTTGATTATGTTTAAACGTTCCTCCTGTAGGTGGACAGGCCCGACTTACTTCTAGGAGGCCTCGCGCCTTCTCGGGAGGCCGCCCCCCTGGCGCGGCCCCCGTGGTGCGCGCCGCCGGCTCCCCTTGCCTCCCTCGGATCCTGGCGACGCCAAGGCAGCAGTGATAACAGTTCCCCGAACAGCTGTTCGGCGGCGCGCAGAAGGGGGGGTATGGGGGAGGGGGGAGGGCTTCTTAGAAGCACCCCTGCTTCTCAGATCTTAGAAGGCGCGGGCCTTGTCTGTAGACGTAAGGCCCGCTGCTTCTAAGAAGCAGCCTCCTTCTAAGAAGCCTTCCCCCCTCCCCGCTGCCCCCTCGCGCGCGCCGCCAAGCTGTGCTGACGCAGGGCTTATTGTGGCAAGAAGAGAAGACCATGCCCCCCGAGGGGCCCCCGCACACGGACATCCTCCGAATTCAGAGGCGGCCCGACGTGCCGCCTGAGATCCCCTCATAGTCGCGGTACGTGCGCCCTCGGCAACAGGGAACAGGTAAGTCGGGGGCGGCAAAGAGGAGGGTGATGAGTAGGGGGGGTGGATATCATGGCGGGGGCCATGATATTTCCCCAGATTTTATGGCGCCTCTTCTTATTTCATTACGTCCCTGGCCCCCCCGCTGGGCCGCGCACATGCCGCCGGTCATGGTTTGCACCCCCCCCTCTTGGACACCCCCCCTCTTGGCCGCTCCCAAAAGAGGGAACAGGTAAGTAGCCGATTTCACAATCAGCTGTGTCGGCATGGGCTTTACTGTGGTAAGAGCTGGTTCCACCCGAGGGACCCCGCACAGTGACATCCTCAAAATTCTGAGGTGGTTTGGCCTGTTTCGCTGGAGGCGTTCTCACAACTTTCGTTTCCAAATTGGCCTTGGTTGGGCTGTTTCGCCTGAGAAATCCTGGCCACCCTGGCCTCCCGGATACTGCGCGCGAGGTGGTTTGGCCCGTTTCGGCTGAGACCTCCTCACAATTCTGGGCTCCGAGATGACCGGGGGCTCAGGGGGTCTGGCCCGTTTCGCCTATGACATCCTCGCAAGTCTGAGCTCCCAGATGCCGTGCGCGAAGTGGTCTGGCCCGTTTCGCCTGAGACATCCTTCTATTTCTAGGCTCCGCGATGGCGGATTGAGGTGGTCTGGCCCGCAAACTCTGGGTTCCGAGATGCCGCGCAAGAGGTGGTCTGGCCCGTTTCGCCTGAGAAATCAAGCTGCGGGACGAAGAGGGGAGGAGAACCAGGAGGAAGCATATCATCAGGGGCATGATGATGAGGAGGAGAAAGTGGAGAACGCTGACGAAGACAAAAAGGGGTAAGACAAGTAGGACGCGGAGGAGGAGGAGGAACAACGGGAGGAGAGAAGGAGTACATAGGAGAGGATGGAGCAGGAGGGGGGGAAGAGCGAGGAAAATAATGGCCAGGATGATGAGGAGGAGGAGGACGACGACGACAATGATGACGACGAGAGTGCAGTCCGATCAGGAGCAGGATGACGACGATGACGCGCGACCATTATTGGGAGCCACCCTGGTTCTAAACACGCTGATTTGGAATATTGGATTCTGGGTCTATCTGTTCCGCGTGTTCGCCATTGGAGGTTTTTTCCTGGCCCCGGGGCAACATAATACGTAGCTCCCCGCTGTTGTGGATAAGAATGAGGGGGCGGCGGGGACGTCGGCAGTCTGCGAGGCTGAGACAAACCCCGCCGCAAGAGCGTAATTTCTACAAGTTACACAAGGAGCTCGCCGCAGGCGCCGATTTTTCCGTGACAGCAATGTGGGTGGGTCGCGGGGCGGGTCGCGGGTGGGTCGCGGGGTGGGTCGCGGGTGGGTCGCGGGTGGGTCGCGGGCCGGGTCGCGGGCCAGGTCGCGGGTGGGTCGCGGGGGGGACGACGACAACAAACAACAACAAACACCAATCAACAAACAACGAACAAACAACAACAACATCAACAACAACAACACTAACAACCACAACAACAATAACAACAACAGCAACAACAACAATAACAATAATAACAGCAACAAGCAAGAACAACATCACAAAACAACAAGCATCAACAACATCAGCAGCAACAACAACAGCAGCAACAACAACACAACAACACAACAACAGGAGCAGCAACAACAACAATCCGCGCCGCAGAACCTCACTTCAGCCACGCGCCCAGGGACAGTGAAGGACCGTTCGGCCCCTCACTCTGATTTACTCAGGGTGAGAAGCCATTGTTGGCACGCGACGGCGACGGCGATGGCGACCACGACCGACGTCGCGCCCCCCTCGCAGAGCAGAAAGGGGGTGAAGGGGCCGCGGGGGGCGCGGGCAGGGTTCCAGCGCGAAGGCGGCCGACGGGGCCAGCAAGACCAGCAAGGCGCAGGCCGCGGCGGCCCTCGCCGCCGCCGCTCGCTCGCTCGGTCGATCGATCGTGGGTCGAGGATCGAGGATCCGTATCTTCAGCCAGGACGTCAGTTTCGGCGGAGCGCCCGCTGGCATCTCCACCTGCCGCTGCCTCTCGGATTTCTTTTCCCGTTGCCCGCTCCACGTCTCGGGGCGCAGCGGCTTGGTATCCTACGCGGACCACCTCTCGGCGCCCCCTCTCCAGTTGCCCGCGCTGCGCCTCGGGGCCCTGCGACCCGGCACCGTGCAGCGAAGGCCCTTGTGTCGTGGCCCAGCGGGGGCCGTCGCCGGGCGGCGCCGGGGTCTCCCCCCTGCTCGAGGCGGACCTCGTTGCGGCTGCAGGACTGGGAGGCCCGCGTGCTTCGCCCGCCGGCGGAAGCAGAGGCAGGCGTCGCGATCCCCGCGTTCGTCCACCCTGCGCCGATCTCAAGTCGTGTCTTGCTGCCGCCATCGGCCAGCTCGCTGCCGAGCCGCGGGACTGCGGGGCGCGTCGGCTCTCGCGCGACCCAGAGGTCGCAAGGGCCCGCTGGGCGTGGTGGTCCTCGCTAAGAACACCTCCAACTTCTTCCACGCCGCGCTGGGACTGTTTCTCCCTCCCGCCTGTCAGGGCGGTGAGACGGAGGCTTGCGTCAGCGCAGCAAGAACACCAACGTGGATTGAACTTGAGACTGTGAAGGCCCGGATGAGCGCTTCAGTGGGTCTGGCAGCTTTCCCGCGGCCTCCCCGCGCCCCGTTTTTATGCTGCGGGAGATTCCCTTCCGCCGCGCGAAACTGCACTTTTCTGCTGTTCTGCATTCTGAGTGCACGCGATACCTTGCCCCCAGTTCTACATATGCATCTCCCTGTCTCTTTTTGGGCCCTCTGGCCCCACCCGCTTGGTCCCCTCGCGTGGACACCCATGCGGGCACTGGCACTGACTGGTGGACGTCGCTTCTCTGGGCGGCGTTGCTGCCGCGAGTCGGAGTGGCTGCTGCCCGAGTTCACTGTCCTGTCGACGGGCAAGTCCTGGGCCCCGCACCTCCGCCAGGGCGTCACCGAGGCCGCCCGGGCCCGAGCGCGCACGGCCCCCAGAGCACTTGGCCCGTTGCGGCGGCCTCGGCGTCGCGCCTCGGGGCGCGGCTGCTGGCGGGCGGCACCGCCCACGTCGTCAACTGGGCGGCTGGGTGCCGGCGCGCGACGGGCACTGGAGGCCAGGCCCGTGTGGAAACGTCAAGGAGTGGCCCGCTCCTCGCGGTGCCTTCCTATCGTGTCGGGCAGCGGCCCGCTCCTCGTGCCCCCTGCGTACCGCTCGGCCTCACCACCGAAGGCAGTGGCCCGCTCCCCAGGGCGTCTTCTGCTCCTGGTCGTGCGTCCGCCCTGCCGTTTTTCGTTTGTGTGGTGGTCGTCGACCCGCTCTTGCCTGCGACCTTTTTGTGTCTCGGCCAGTGCGCCTTTCACTGGCGCTGAGCCACCTGTGGGCCCTGGGGCCGCTGCTCGCCGCACGCGGATGGGCCGTTGCTCCCAACTTCCTCCGGCGCGACGCCTTCGTCATCTACCGCGCCGAGGGCCTCGCCGTCGGCTCGGCCCTCTGACGACAGCTCCGCCCCGCGGGGGCCTTCCACAGGCGCATCCTCGGCCTCGCCGGCAACAAGACGCCCGCCCTCGCTGTCGGCAAGCGGCGGGGCGCGTCGGCCCAGCAGCGGCGCATCCTCTGGGAGATCCACCCCCACCCGACTAGGTGCCAGCTCGGCGTCGCCGTCCGCTGGGCCCCCGGCGACCTCATCGCCTCAGATCGGCCGCCTCGCGGGCGGCCCCGCATCAAGGCGCCCGATGTCCAGCCCTGGCTGGGGCGATCGGTCTTCGCTGGCCCCCTCGCCCCACGCTGGGCAGGCAGAAGGGGGCGAGCAGCTCAGCCCCCGATGCCGACGTCCCGCGCGGACCTCGCCGCCCTCGAGGCTGCTGGCGCGGCAGTCCTGGCGGCGCCGTCGCTGGTCGCAGCGGCCGCCCCGCGAGCGCGAGGCGCTGCGCGGGGCCCAGCGGTCGAGGAGTGGTCGGTGGGCGAGGCGGCGCTGGCGGATTGCCAGAGGCGGGCCCGCGTTTTCCTCCAGTGGTGTTCCGAACTCCACTTGGGGCGTTCCAAAGAGGGCCTTGCCCTGGAGGACAGAAGGAGTTGTCATCTCTTCACCGGCGGAAGGCGGTGGAAGGGCGGCGGAAGAAGGTCGGCGGAGTAGAACGAGGCCGCCTTCGCCGGCGGAAGGCGGCGGAAGTAAGAGATGCGCCCCCAAGCGATGAAAACGTTTTTTTCCGTTCAGGGTTTCCGGAATCCGCCACTTGGACTGGACCGACTGGGACCAGCTCGACGTTACAGTGGTGACCTATTTCGACTTCCTGTATTTCCTGGGCCACAGTGGCGACGACACTTCGCGCTCGCTGGCGACCTTGAAGTTCTTCCTCCCTCCCGTCGGACGAGGGGGCGACAAAGACTGCTCGCCGTGCGCCTCAGAGTCTGGCGGGCCGGTGGAGCTGCTCCCCTCGACGGGCGCGGGCGTCGCCCCCGTGGCTGGCTGCGGCGGCGTCGGCGGGGGCGATGCTCCGGCGGAGCCAGTCCGAGGAGACCACTGCGACGTGATCCTGAGCTTCGCCGGCGGCCTGCGCCCGTCAGAGGGCGAGCTGCCGACCGCGCTCCGGGTGGTCGCCGCCGCCCAAGGGGCCGCCGGGGCCGGCCTCGCCGCGCTGGCCGCGCCACCCGCCGGAGCTCGGTCGCCCCCGGCAGCGAGGGGGGGTCTGGGCCTGCGCCCTCGCGCTCGGCGCCTGCCTCTGCAGGCCCCGGCCCTGCGCGCACGGAAGGAGCGAGCCGAGTCGCCGACGTCCAGGATGTGGTCGTTCGCCTCGGCCTCGCCGGCGCTCTGCCAGAGGGAGGCCTCCGCGAGCGCGAGCCCGACGAGCTTCCTGGCCCCTGCGCGCGGGCTGCAGCAAGGGGGGGGGGATCGGGCGACCTCTTGGCGAAGCGGCAGCTGGCCCTGGAGGTTCAGCAGCGCGGCGGCTGGGCCCCCGACGCGGACTTCCGGCGGTGCGCGGAGGTGGCCCAGATCATCGCCGAGCTGCAGCGCGCCGGGGCGCGCGTCATCGCCTGCGGCCAGGTCGCGGGCGCGAGCTTTTCAGCGTTCTTCCTCGGCGCCGTCGCCGACCTCGCCCGCCCCGCGGAGCTCGCCGGCGCGGGCGAGACGCGCCCCTCCGATCGTGTCTCGGGCCAAGATCATCCTTCCACATTCCCTCGAAGGTCTGCGCAGCTGTGTCAGGATGCAGGTCAGAAGGGCTCGTCGGGGGTCACTCTGGATTCGTTTCTGCGGGATCGGCCAGGTTCAGCGAGGCGATCCGCCAGTATGGCATCGTCACCTTGCCCGCCGTCTGCGCTGCCATGTCTCGGTTCAACCTTGACCTCCCAGGCCTCGCGCGGTCCTGGGAGGCTGCGACCGAGGTGGGGTCATGAGTGTCGCGTGGTGCGCCTTGCGTGCTCCCCGTGGAGCCAGGTCCGCTATGGGTTTTCCCAGGACTGGATGATGCACAATCCCGCTGGGCTCACTATCCTGAGGCCCCGCCCCTCTCGCGTCAGAAGGTATAACTGTAGGAAGCGCTTTTTCTGTTTATAGGGATTCCCCGCATCGCGCTGTCTGGACTGGACCCGGTCTCTGGGATTCTCTGGGCGTGCCTTGCCCTGCCATTTTCTCCCTAGTTTTGTTTTGCTCTGTTTTTCACAACTGGTTGCGTCGCGCCCTCTTAACCAAACATAGCCGCGCCGTTTGTTCCCACGCGCGGCCGCGCGTCCTTGGGAGGGCGCCTCGACCACCAGGGCAAACTCCGCCTCGGGTGCCAGGGTTGCTGCGGGTTTGCCGCGCTGCCCGGTTTGCCTACTTGGGCGCGTCGAGAACAAGTGGCGCGGCACTATATCCAGCGTTGTTCTTCGGTGTGTCGTGTCGGTGCGATTGGCTCTTGGTTTCTCATGTCCTCCCCGTTTGGCCCGGCACGAATCGTCTGGGGTCGTCTGCCGTGCCCATAGGTGGAGTCGCCCCGGGCGCCCGCCACACATTTTTTTGGGGGAGGGGGGCAGGGCCTGGGGTGTAGCATGAGATGACGATGACGATGGCGATGACGACGACGACGATAACGACGACGACGACGACTACGATGATGATGATGATGATGATGATGATGATCATCATCATCATCATCATCATGATGATCATGATGATGCTGATGATGGTGATGGTGATGCTGACGATGACGATGATGATGGTAACGGTGATGGGGGGATGATGATGTTGAGGATGAAGGTGGCGATGATGATGATTATGATGATGATAGTAATGCTGATGATGATAATGCTGCTGCTGCTGATGATGATGATCATGATCATGATCCTGACGATGATGCTGATGAGGCCGATGCTGATGATGGTGATGATGTTGATGGTGATGGCGATGATGACAAAGATGGTAATAATGATGCTGATGGTGTTGATGGTACTGGGTGATGATGATAACGACGACGATGACGATTATGATGATGCTGATGGTTGTGTTGGTGATTACGCTGATTAGGTTGACGTACAGTATGATGATGGCGTTGATGATGATGATGATACTGATGCTGATGGTGATGGTGATGATGATACGTATGATGAGTAAAATGAAGGTGGCGATGATGGTGCTGATGATGACCACTGTGATTATGATGATAATGCTGACGATGATGATGGTGACGGTGATGATGATGATGATGATGATGATGATGATGATGGTGATGATGTTGATGTTGTTGTTGATGATGACGGTGGTGGTAGACGATGATGTTATTGATGTCGGTCATGTCGCTGATGATGATAAGGATGATGGCGATGTTGGTGATGATGGTGATGAATACCACGACGATGATGATGATGATGATGATGATGATGTTGTTGTTGTTGATGCTGATGATGTTGATGATGCCGCCTGCTGTTGT